AACATGGAATGTTTTCCCATCTGTGTGTCCTCTCTTATTTCCTTGAGCAGTGGTTTGTAGTTCTCCTTGAAGAGGTCCTTTATATCCTTTGTTAGTTGTATTCTTAGGTATTTTATTTGCTTTGTAGCAATTATGAATGGGAGTTTGCTCTTGATTTGGCTCTCAGTTTGTTATTGGTGTATAGAAATGCTTGTGATTTCAGCACATTGATTTTATATCCTGAGGATTTGCTGAAGTTGCTTATCAGTTTAAGGAGATTTTGGGCTGAGATGATAGGGTCTTCTAAATGTACAGTCATGTCATCTGCAAATAGAGACAATTTGACTTCCTCTTTTCCTATTGAAAACTCTTTTCTTGCCTAATTGCTCTGGCTAGAACTTCCAATACTATATTGAATAGGAGTGGTGAGAGAGGACATCCTTGTCTAGTGCCAGATTTGAAAGGGAATGCTTCCAGTTTTTGCACATTCAGTATGATATTGGCTGTAGGTTTGTTGTAAATAGCTTTTATTGTTTTGAGATATGTTACTTCGATACCTGGTTTATTGAGAGTTTTTAGCATAAAGGGCTGTTGAATTTTGTCGAAGGCCTTCTCTGCATCTATTGAGATAATCATGTGCTTTTTTTCTCTGGTTTTGTTTATGTGGTGGATTACATTTATAGACTTGCATATGTTGAACCAGCCTTGCATCCCCGGAATGAAGCCTACTTGATTGTGATGCATAAGCTTTTTGATGTGTTGTTGTAATCGGTTTGCCAGTATTTTATTGAAGATTTTTACATCTATGTTCATCTTGGATAATGGCCTGAAGTTTTCTTTTTTGTTGAGTCTCTGCCAGGTTTTGGTATCCAGATGATGTTCGTCTCATAAAATGATTTGGGAAAGAGTCCCTCTTTTTGTATTGTTTGGAATAGTTTCAGAAGGAGTGGTACCAGCTCCTCTTTGTACGTCTGTTAGAATCAGTCTGGACCTGGACTTTTTTTGGTTGGTAGAGCTATTAATTGCTGCCTCAACTTCAGCCCTTGTTATTGGTCTATTCAAGGTTCCAGCTTCTTCCTGGTTTAGGCTTGGGAGGGTGCAAGTGTCCAGGAGTTTATCCATTTCTTCCAGGTTTACTGGTTTATGTGCATAGAGTTGTCTGTAGTAATCTCTGATGGTAGTTTGTATTTCTGTGGAATCAGTGGTGATCTCCCCTTTATCGTTTTTTATTGCATCTATTTGATTCTTCTCCTTTTTCTTTTTTATTTATCTGGCTAGCAGTCTATTTTGTTGATCCTTTCAGAAAACCAGCTCCTGGATTTATTGAATTTTTGAAGGGTTTTTTGTGTCTCTATCTCCTTCAGTTCTGCTCTGATCTTAGTTATTTCTTGTCTTCTGCTAGGTTTTGAGTTTTCTTGATCTTGCTCCTCTAGCTTTTTCAATTTTGACGATAGGGTGTCGATTTTAGATCTTTCCTCGCTTCTCATGTGGGCATTTATTGCTATACATTTCCCTCTAGACACTGCTTTAAATGTGTCCCAGAGATTATGGTACGTTGTGTCTTTGTTCTCGTTGATTTTAAAGAACATCTTTATTTCTGCCTTCATTTCATTGTTTATCCAGTTGACATTCAGGAGCTAGTTGTTCAGTTTCCATGAAGCTGTGTGGTTCTAAATAAGTTTCTTAATTCTGAGTTCTAATTTGATTGCCCTGTGGTCTGAGAAATTGTTTGTTATGATTTCCATTCTTTTGCATTTACTGAGGAATGATTTACTTCCAAGTATGTGGTCAATATTAGTGTAGGTGCAATGTGGTGCTGAGAAGAATGTATATTCTGTGGATTTGGGGTGGAGATTTCTGTAGATGTCTGTTAGGTCTGCTTGGTCCAGATCTGAGTTCAAGTCCTGGATATCCTTGTTAATTTTCTGTCTCATTGATCTGTCTTATATTGACAGTGGAGTATTAAAGCCTCCCACTATTATTGTGTAGGAGTCTAAGTCTCTTTGTAGGTCATTAAGAACTTGGTTTATGTTCCTTGGTGCTCCCTGTATTGGGTGCTTATATATTTAGGATCATTAGCTCTTCTTGATGCATTGATCCTTTTACCATTATGTAAAAGCCTTCTCTGTCTCTTTTGATCTTTGTTGGTTTAAAGTCCATTTTATCAGAAATAAGGATTGCAATTCCTGCTTTTTTTTGCTCTCCATTTGCTTGATGAATCTTCCTCCATCCCTTTGTTTTAAGCCTATGTGTGTCTTTGAGCATGAGATTGGTTTCCTGAATACAGCACACTGGTGGGTCTTGACCGTTTATCCAGTTTGCCAGTCTGTGTCTTTTGATTGGGGCGTGTAGCCCATTTACATTTAAGGTTAATATTGTTATGTGAATTTGATCCTGCCATTTTGATGCTAGCTGGATGTTTTGCCTGTTAGTTGACGCGTGTTTTTCATTGTGTTGATGGTCTTTACCATTTGGTATGTTTTTGGAGTGGCTGGTACTGGTTGTTCCTTTCCTTGTTTAGTACTTCTTTCAGGATCTCTTGTAGGGCAGGCCTGGTGATGATGAAATCTCTCAGCAATTGCTTTTCCATAAAGGATTTTCTTTCTCCTTCGCCTATGAAGCTTAGTTTGGCTGGATATGAAATTCTAGGTTAAAAGTTCTTTTTCTTTGAGGATGTCGAATATTTGCCCCCACTCTCTTCTGGCTTGTAGGGTTTCTGTGGAGATATCCACTGTGAGTCTGATGGGCTTCCCTTTGTGAGTAACCCAACCTTTCTCTCTGGATGCTCTTAGCATTTTCTCCTTCATTTCAACCCTGCTGAATCTGATGATTATGTGCCTTGGGGTTGCTCTTCTTGAGGAATATCTTTGTGGTGTTCTCTGTATTTCCTGGACTTGAATGGTGGCCTGGCATGCTAGGTTGGGGAAGTTCTCCTGGATAATATCCTGAAGAGTGTTTTCCAACTTGGATT